CCAGGCTCCTGACTTTGGCCTGGCCCAGCCCTGGCTGTTGCAGGCTTTTGTGGGGTGAATCAGAGGATGGAAGACATCTTTTTCTGTCACTCTGCATTTCAAGTAGATGAAAATAAGCATAAAAAAAAAAGAGAGGAGCCTGCAATGTGGTGTAGCTTGTAAAACCATCACCTGTAGTGCTCACCCCCGAAATGGGCACTGGTTCAAGTCCCAGCAGCTCCACTTCCAATACATCTTTCTGCTGTGGCCTGGGAAAGCAGCAGAAGATGGCCCAATCCTTGGGCTCCTGCAACCACATGGGAGACCCGGAAGAAGCTCCTGGCTCCTGGCTTCTGATCGGCCCAGCTCCACCCATTGTAGCCATTTGGAGGGTGAACCAGTGGGTGGAAGACCTCTCTCTTTCTCTGGCTCTCTGCCTTTCAAATAAATAAATAAATAAATAATTCTTTTAAAAAAGAATGATAGATAGGGGCTGGGATGGTGTGGCATAGTAGGCTAAGCCTCCTCCGCCTGAGGCGCCAGCATTCTATATGAGCATCAGTTTCTGTCCCTGGTACTCCTATTCTGATCCAGCTCTCTGCTATGGCCTGGGAAACCAGTGGAAGATGGCCCAAGTGCTTGGGCCTCTGTACCTATGTGGGAGACCTGGAGGAAGCTCCTGGTTCCTGGCTTCAGATTGGCCCAACTCCAGCCATTTGGGGAATGAATCAGTGGATGGAAGGCCTTTCTCTCTGTCTCTCCCTCTCTTTAACTCTACCTCTCAAGTAAATAAATTTAAAAAAAAATTTTTTTAAGGTAGCAGTTAAAAAATAGTCATATTGGAGAGGCAGAGCTATTTTCTTAGTCTTAAAAATTTTTAAAGACTTATTTTATATATTATTTATTTGAAAGGTAGAGAGAGAAAAAGAAAGAGGGAGAGGTATCTCCCACCCACTGGTTCCCTCCCAAAATGTCCCCAAGAATTGGGGCTGGGCCAGGCTGAAGCCAGGAGCCTGGAACTCCATCTGGGTATCCCACATGGGCGCAGGGACCCAAGCGCTTGGGCCATCTTCTGCTGCTTTCCCAGGCACATTAGCAGGGAGCTGGATCAGAAGTGGAGCAGCCGGGACCTGAACCAGTGCTCTGACACGGGATGCTGATGGTGCTGGCAGCAGCCACAACTGCAGCCCATTTTAAAATTTTTAATATTTTTATGAATATTACATATTAGATTTCAAATATACATACTATTAACATGTTGTATTTTACACATGTAACTTTTTTACATTGTAGTTCTATTTTAAAATCCCCAGTTTTCTATGTAATGTTTCTTGATAGATGTGATTTTTTTTTATTATTTTTTTTGACAGGCAGAGTTAGACAGTGAGAGAGAGACAGACAGAAGAAAGGTCCTCCTTTTCCCATTGGTTCACCCCCTAAGTGGCTGCTACGGCCGTAGCGCTGTGCCGATCCAAAGCCAGGAGCCAGGAACTTCCTCCTGGTCTCCCATGGGGTGCAGGGCCCAAACACTTGGGCCATCCTCCACTGCACTCCCGGGCCACAGCAGAGAGCCGGACTGGAAGAGGAGCAACCGGGACAGAATCTCGCGCCACGACCGGGACTAGAACCCGGTGTGCTGGCGCCGCTAGGTGGAGGATTAGCCTAGTGAGCCGCGGCGCTGGGCAGAATGTGATTTAATAACTGAACAGCTAGAGTAAGGGTCTAGCTTTTCAGTGCTCCTACCTATCCGTTAACATTCTTCAACTGTAAGCGCAGAAACTGACTGCTGAACAAACAGGGACCACGCCAGAGAGCGCTGGAGGGTGCACAGGACAGCAGGGAGCCGTGGCAAGCCCGGCGGCGGGCAGCCCCGCGAGCAGCCGCACAGCAGTGAGCCCCCCTGTGTTATCCTCAGAGTTGGCAGCCAGTTAGGATGCCTCCACCCCAGGTCAGAGTGCCTGGGCCCCACACCTGGCTCTGGCTCCTGACTCCAGCTTCCTGCTAACGTGTGACCCTGCAGGGTGGCAGGAATGGCTTAACTGGGTTCCCGCCATCCACATGGGAAACCTGAGTTGTGTTCTTTGTTCCTCGTTTTGGTCCCAGCTCAATTTCAGCTGTTGTGGACATCTGAGGAATGAGCCACCAAGTGGGAGTACTGTCTCAAGTTAAAGAGAGAGAGAGAGATGGGGCTGGCACTGTGGCACAGAGGGTGAAGCCATGGCCTGCAGATGCAGCAGCAGCAACCCATATGGGTGCCAGTTCAAGTCCCGGCTGCTCCACTTCTGATCCAGCTCCCTGCCAATGTGCCTGGGAAAGCAGCAGAAGATGGCCCAAGTGCTTGGGCCCCTGCACCCACATGGGAGACCCGGAGGAAGCTCCTGGCTTCGGCTGGCCCGGCCCTGGCTGTTGCGGCCATTTGGTGAGTGAACCAACAGATGGAAGATCTGTCTCGCCTTCTCTAACTCTGCCTTTCAAATAAATAAATAAATAGAGAGAGAGAGAGAGGGAGAGAGAGATTGATTGATTGATTCGTTCTGGTTTTTCTGTCTTGCCCTCAGCTGTAGACGTTATAACCACAGTGACAGCGTTTAGTTAGTATGGCAAAGGCATTGCGTTTGTGGGAGGAAGACGTGAACGGAAAACATGTTCCAACTGACATCTGTGTGTTGCTGCAGAGCTCTGAGCCCCGTTACAAACACTAGCGAGGCATGAAGAGAATGACTGCAGCCAGTCACTGCAAGGAAGGGAGGCTTACACAGATCCCGGGACAGTCAGGAACATAGCTGCTCATGATCTCGTGCTGTGCCCAATTTACATAATATACTTTATTATGGGCGGGCATGTATGTGTATGGGAAAAACACGGCACATACAGGCTTCTCTTTGTGTATATGTGTATGTATGTATGTACCACCAGAAATGAGTGTATCTCCAAAAGTTAATGGAAGAATCACATTAAAAGATGTTTATTTTGGCATAAAACCCCTGAAATCCATATATTTGAGAGGTATTTGAAAAGGTTGTGAAAAGTGCTCGTTATGAAAAAGCTGCACGGAATACAAATGTTTTCTATCAGACTTATCTTTTTTTTTTTTTTTAAAGATTTTATATATTTATTTGAGAGAGTGAGTTACAGACAGTGAGAGGGAGAGACAGAGAGAAAGGTCTTCCTTCCGTTGGTTCACTCCCCAAATGGCCACAATGGCCAGAGCTGTGCCGACCCAAAGCCAGGAGCCAGGTGTTTCTTCCCAGTCTCCCATGTGGGCGCAGGGGCCCAAGGACTAGGACCATCTTCTACTGCTTTCCCAGGCCATCACAGAGTGTTGGATTGGAAGAGGGGCAGCCGGGACTAGAACCGGCATCCATATGGGATGACGGTACTGCAGGCAGAGGATTAACCTACTGCGCCACAGCGCCGGCCCCTCAGATTTATCTTTTAACTGCATTTTCCACAAACTTTTTGAAGTCCCCTTGTACATTTAACTTGAAAAAAAAAAAAAAGATTTATTTATTTATTTGAGAAGCAGAGTTAGAAAGACAGGGAGAGGAAGAGAGAGAGCTTCTATCCGCTGGTCCACTCCCCAAATGGTTTCAATGGCAGGAGCTGGGCTGATCTGAAGCCAGGAGCCAGGAGCTTCTTCCAGGTCTCCCACACAGGTGCAGGGGCCCAAGGACTTGGGCCACCTTCTGCTTTCCCAGGCTACAGCAGAGAGCTGGATAGGAAGTAGAGCAGTCAGGACATAAACTGGCGTCCATATGGATGTCAGTGCTTCATGCAGAAGCTTAACTTACTATGCCACAGCGCCAGCCAAAGTACATTTAACTTTGAGAATGAGAACTTTTTTTTTTTTTTTTGAGCAACCTCAATGTCAAAGTCATAAAATTGGACCCAGAGAGAAAGAATTACAATCCTGGAGCCACTCCTAAACTCAGTATTAAACAGTTTCATTGTAACTATGTCAATGCCATTTGAGTTTCAATTTGAATACATTTGAAGAACCAGGAGCCTTGCTGAGGTCTAGAGCAGATGGCAAATTATTGATGAAATAAAATAGCATCTGAGAGAAGTAAGGATGAAGAAAGGCAGAGAAAGAGGCTGAGTCAAATTATTATTCAGTTACTGTCGAGTAATCAAGTACCTAAGCCCAGTGGCATAAAACAGTAAGCATTCACTCCTCTTCCCAAGTGTGACAGGTCAGCCAGACACCCTCACCTCACCTGGGCACAGATGCAGTTCTTTCGATCCCCGCGGGCTCATGCTTGTCTAGAGGTCGGCCACTCTGGTGTGGCCACTCCTGCCCCAGCAGGTGCCGGCAGAGCTCCTGAGAGCAGAAGCAGTGTGCAAGAGCCCGGAGGCTGAACCTCCACACCATGTTAGCCACACTTGGCAGCCAACGCAAGTCCCCCCACCACACCGTGTTACCCCTACCACACCGTATTACTCACATCCTGGCGGCCAACACAAGTCCCCCCACCACACTGTGTTACCCCCACCACACCGTGTTAGCCACATCCTGGCGTCCAATGCAAGTCTCCCCAACACACCGTGTTACCCCCACCACACCATGTTAGCTACAACCTGGTGGCCAATGCAAGTCCATGGCCAAAACCAGATGCAAGGGGTAGGAAAACAGACTCTGCCTCTTGACGAGTTGTGTAAAGTCACATTGCAAAACACATTGAAATGGGGAGAGGCAGAAAACCAGGGCTGTTTTTACAATTAATCTGCCACTAAGACGAAGTAAAATACTAAGTAAAGGTGATGAGCAAGAAATGTCGGGACAAGTATACTGTTTAAAACATAAAGGTGACCAGTAAGAGGTCCACATGACGATGGTAGTAGGACAGAGGGTAGTGGCTTGATGTTAAACTCATTTTCTCTGAAGTTGATAAGCATATCACAGGTTGAACAAGCCTAATCTGAAAATGCAACAGCGTACACAATCCGAAACATAAGATTTATCCATTTGAAAGGCAGAATGAGAGAGACAGAAATTAGTCTTTTTTTTTTTTTTTTTTTTTTTTTTTTTTTTTTTTTTTTTGACAGGCAGAGTGGACAGTGAGAGAGAGAGACAGAGAGAAAGGTCTTCCTTTGCCGTTGGTTCACCCTCCAATGGCCGCCGCGGTCGGCGCGCTGCGGCCGGCGCACCGCGCTGATCCGATGGCAGGAGCCAGGAGCCAGGTGCTTTTCCTGGTCTCCCATGGGGTGCAGGGCCCAAGCACCTGGGCCATCCTCCACTGCACTCCCTGGCCACAGCAGAGGGCTGGCCTGGAAGAGGGGCAACCGGGACAGAATCCGGCGCCCCGACCAGGACTAGAACCCGGTGTGCCGGCGCCGCTAGGCGGAGGATTAGCCTAGTGAGCCGCGGCGCCGGCCAGAAATTAGTCTTCTGTCTACTGAGTCACTCCCCAAATACCTGCAACAGCCCAGGCTGGGCCAAGCCAAAGCCAGGAGCCAGGAGCTTCCTACGAGTCTCCCACATGGGTGGCAGGAATTGAAGCCCTTGAGTCATCATCTGTTGCTTCCTTGGCACATTAGGAGGGAGCTCTATCAGAAGTGGAGTGCTGGGGCTCGAACTGGCGTTCCAATACGGGGTGCAGGCATCCCAAGTCAATGCCCTGGGCACAGCTAACACAGTGCCACAAGTGGAAACTTCCACACCTGCTCTCACGTGATGCCTACACGAAAAACAGTGAATACATGCAACTTCAGACTCTGCGTTTAAGGTAGAAAAAAAACACAAATGGATTCTCTGTTTAGACTTGGGTCCCATCCCCAGTATGCCTCATTATATGTACGCAAAGATGCCAGAATCCAAAATACCCACAACTTCCAGTCCTAAGTTTTTTTTTGTTTGTTTTTTGTTTTTGTTTGTTTTTTGTAAAGATTTATTTGAAAGGGGGAGAGAGAGAGAGAGAGAGATATCTTCCATCCACTGGTTCACCCCTGCAATGGCCACAATGACCAGGGCTGGGTCAGACTGAAGCCAGGAGCTTTTTTCTTGGTCTCTCACATGGTTCAGGGGCCCAAGTCTATGGGCCACCTTCCACTGCTTTCCCAGGCACATTAGCAGGGAATGGGATCAGAAAGTGGAACAGCTGGGACTCAAACCGGCACCATAGCGCTGGCCCCAGTCCCAATCACTTTGTATAAGTAACACTCAGCTGGCGCGGTGGCTCACTAGGCTAATCCTCTGCCTGAGGCGCTGGCACCCGGGGTTCTAGTCCCGGTCGGGGTGCCGGATTCTGTCCCGGTTGCCCCTCTTCCAGGCCAGCTCTCTGCTGTGGCCAGGGAGTGCAGTGGAGGATGGCCCAAGTGCTTGGGCCCTGTACCCGCATAGGAGACCAGGAGGAAGTACCTGGCTCCTGGCTTCGGATTGACACAGTGCACCGGACAAGGCGGCCATTTGGGGAGTGAAGCAACGGAAGGAAGACCTTTCTAACTCTGTCAAAAAAAAAAAAAACAAAAAACTCAACCTGTGTAACTTCCAGAAAAACTCCATGGAGATGAATGTTGTGCTAGAGTTAGGAATGTGAAGTGATTTAATCTGTCCTACACTATGAGTATCTAATTATTGTTGACACTCCCCTTTCAGAGAGAAAACCATGGTTCTAAGAGTGAGACTGAGTATCTATGCCCCACATGACTTAGTAGTTGGGTAGTGCTGGGGTCTGAATATATCCCAAGTTCATGTATCAGAAACTTAATCTCAGGGCTGGTGTTGCCGTGTAGTGAGTAAAACCACCACTTGCAATGCCAGCATCCCTTTTGGGCTTTGGTTCATGTCCCAGATGCTCCACTTCTGATCCAGCTCCTTGCTATTGCCCTGGGAAAAGCCATGGAAGATGGCCTAAGTGCCTGGGCCCCTGTTACCCACATGGGCAACCTAGAAGCAGCTCCTGGCTCCTGGCTTCAGCCCGGCCCAGCCCTGGCCATTGTGGCCATCTGAGGAGTGAATCAGCAGATGAAGAACTCTGCTTGTCTCTCACTTTCTCTGTATAAATCTGATTTTCAAATAAATATATCTTAGTTATTTTATTTGAAACACAGTTACAGAGAGGTAGAGACAGAGACAGAGAGACAGAGAGGTCTTCCATCTACTGGTTCCCTCCCCAAATGGCTGCAATGGCTGGAGCTGAGCCAATCCAAAGCCAGGAGCTTCTTCTGGGTTCCCCACGTGAGTTCAGGGGCTCAAGGATCTGGGCTATTCTCTGCTGTTTTCTCAGGAGCATTAGCAGAGAGCTGGATAGGAAAGAGCAGCAGCCAGGACTAGAACTGGTGCCCATATGGGATGCTGGCGCGGCAGGCCAGGGCTTTAACCCACTGCACCACAGCACCAGCCCCCAAATAAATAAATCTTTTAAAAAACCTCCAAATTCCTATGTTGATGGTATTTTTAAAAAGATTTGAAGGACAGCAAGACAAAGATCTTCCACCCACTGGTTCACTCCCCAAATGGCTACTACATACAGCCAGGGTTGCTGGTTCAGGCTACAGCCAGGAGCTTCATTCTGGCCTCTCACGTGGGTGGCAGGGGCCCAAGCACTTGGGCCATCTTCTGCTGCCTGATTCTCAGGCACATTAGCAGGGAGCTGGATCAGCAGTGGAGCAGCTGGGACTAGAACCAGCACTCTGATATTGGATACCAACAGCATTACGAGTGGCAGCTTAACCCACTGCAGCACACCACCAACTCTGTCGATGTTATTTAGAGGAGGGCTTTGGGCAGGGTAATTAGGGTTAGATGTGGTCATGACGGCATCAGTGGCTTTGTGAGAGGTTAGAGGTGACCATGCAAGCTCCCTCATTCCCACCACATGGCCCCTGTCCCGTGTGACAACACAGTCAGAGAGCCCTTGACACACTCTGGCATCTTGAGGTCATATTTCCCGGCCTCCAAAACTGAGAAATCCATTGTTTTCCTTTATAAATGGCCCAATCAGTGGCCTCCTGCTGCAGCAACATAAAACAGGTGGCCGATCTGACTTTGGATCTTGTAAGTCCCTCACCACCTCTTGTGGCCTGCTCAGGGTAGGGGAGGTGAACTTCCTGAAGGCAACGTCCTTGGTGGCTGTCGGGAGCAGAGCCCTGCATCTGCACTACTTCTGCTGCTGTCGCGGGCACTTGGAGACAACTTGGGGCCCAACGTAAGACACAGACTCCCGGCCCCTTCCTAATCACACCTGTACACTTCGATGGGTGCATTGTGTTGAAGTGACACAGGTCGTTCTGAAAGATCAAACACCCAAGTGACCAGCCAGGAGAGGGCTGGGGTGGGGGTGGGGGGCAGTGCACACTGGCATATTAACTTGCCATGTAGAGTGTCAATGAATCGTTTTTGTAAAGAACCAGACAGTAAATATTTTCAGCTCTGTAAGCCACTGGGTCCCTGTAGCCACGGTAGTATAAAATGCTGTGACCCAGGGACAGCGTGTAGCTGTCTCCTATGAGTGTTTATTTACAGAACAGGCGGTGGGCTGACTTTGGCCCCCAGGCCACAGCTCACTGATGGCTGCTGACAACAGTGGCATCAGCATCACCCGAGGACTCCCGAGATGTGAGGTGCTCAGGCTCAGCTCCGAGTCAGAACCTCTGTGGGGTGGGCCCAGCCGTCCGTGGTCCAACAAGCAACCCCGGCGGCACAGGTACACACTCAAATTTGAGAATCATTACCCTAAAACTATTTTTAAAAAACTCAAACTTTCCATGAAAGCTAAGAAATTTTGAGTTTCTAGGATCATTTTAGAACTTTCTAGAAAGCCAAGAGACTAATAGCCAGAGCTAAGAAAGCCTAGGCATAGATAGTACTGTCCGCCCGGGCATGGGGGCCCGGTGAGGTCGCATATGCAAGTCAGTTTTTCTTGCTTGTCGTGGACCACTCAACTGGTTTGAAGTTCCTTAACTCAGATCCTCCAAGGTCAACACCAAAGCTAATGTTCTTAAGAGAGGAAATCCCCGTCATTGTCCTGACACAGGTGGTCTAAGCTTTTCAGAGAGCGGGAGTAAAGTGCTGAACCTTTTATTAACATGGAGTTTTAAAAGCTTTACATTGGCGATTCACTAGGAGAGGAGAGCTGTGTCACGAAGATGGTACCCCTGGGTTTGGTTATTGGTTTAGCAGCTGGGGTGCTTCGCCATCATTTTTCTACGAATGCTCTCCATTTGTAGTCTCTGTCCCGGACAGGTAAAACGATGCCATCATCTTCTGCCTCAGGGGAGAACAGGCACTGTTATAACCTCTGGGCTCTAGAAGGTTCTTACCGCACATTGGCCCCTTAACACCATCTATGGATTAGAATTTGCTCTCACTGGGCCTCGAGGTCTCTCCAAGGGAAGACTCAAAGCGGGGAGCATTTAGACATTTCCCAGGGTTCTCTGTGTGCTAGGACACGTAACAAAATGGTCTGCCTTCACAGCCAACAGCGCAGTGACATTAAACACATTCACACGGCTGGGCAACCTTCACCATCACCCACCACCAGAACTTCATCTTGCAAAACTGAAACTCTGGGGCCGGCGTCATGGCATAGTGGGTTAAGCTGCCTCCTGCCACGCCAGCAACACAAATAGGTGCCAGTTTGTGTCGCGACTGTTCCACTTCCAATCAAGCTCCCTGCTCCTGGCCTGGGAAAAGCAGGGAACCAAGATGGCACAAGCGCTTGGGCCCCTGCACCCATGTGGGAGAGCAGAAGCAGCTCCTGGCTCCTGGCTTTGGCCTGGCCCAGTGCCAGCCATTGTGACTGGAGAGTGAACCAGTGGATGGAAGACCTGTCACTTGACTTTCATATAAATCTGTCAATCTTCATAAGCTGAAACTCCGCCCCCAGCAAACACTAACTTCCCTATCCTCCCCTCCCACCCAGCCTGGGCAACGTCCATTCTACTTTCTTTGTGGATCTGATTATATACAACATATAGCCACATACAAAGGTCTTTAAAAAGTCACATAATGGAAAAAATTATGGACTTTAAACATTTTGCACAATAAGCAAACATCCTTTAATTCAATTTTTTCATGACCATTTGAAGTACTCTTGAATAGGTGGAATCATACTGGCTTTTAACAATCTGAATTAAATTTTTTTAAAATTTTTTAAGAGGAAATTTTTTAAATTTTAAATTTTTTAAAATTTAAATTTAATTTTTAATTTTTAAGAGGAAGAGTGAGAGATTCCATCCACCAGTTCACTCCAACAGCCAGGTCTGGGCCAGGCTGAAACCAGGAGTCCTGAGCTCAGTTTGGGTCTCCCACATATATGACAAGGATCCAAATACCCAAGTCACCTGCTGCTGCCTTCCAGTGCATTATCAGGAAGCGGATCAGAAGTAGATCACCAGGACTTGAACCTGGCACCCTACATAAGATGCAGCAGTTCCAGTGGCGGCTTGGCTGCAGTGCCACTGGCTGATTTTTCAATGCAGTTTTGCTATACATGGGACACCGCCCTTCCAGTTAGCGGGAATATGACGACATAGCTATTACTCCTAGGTCAGAGGTCTTTAAGCTGGGGTTCTTGGTGAGCCCCAGGGATCTCACTCCCTTTAAGGAGAAGTCTCCTTTCATGAGACTGTCACAGGAACCACTGGCTTAGAAGATGCTCATTTCCATTCCCATCTTCTCTGCTTTGAGAGCATCCTTGGTCCCAAATCTTTCAGCTGCTTCCAATTAGCAAAAAGCCAAGCTGGTCGTATTGATGCGACTGCTCTGGATTTTGTTGCTGATTCCCGTCTGACACTTACCGGGAGCGTCCCTCCCTCCGTAAACCCCTCGTCCTGTGTTTACCTGGTCCCTGAAGAGCTCAGACCCCTCTCCTCCTACGAAAAAGGAGCTACCACTTGATCTACACTGGAGTGGCTGTTGCCAAAAAAAATCAGAAAACAAACGGATATCGCTGGGGATGTGCACAAAGTCGAGCGCCATGTACTGCTGTTGGGGGTGTACAATGGAACGTGGCGTGGTGCTTCTACAGAAGTTACAACTAGAATCACCACGCGGTCCAGCAGTGCCGCTTCTGGGTCTAGGCTGGAAAGAACCGCTAACAGATTCCAGTAGGTACGTCCCTAACAGCATTGCTCCCAGTAGCCACCAAAGCACCCAGGGGCCCATCGGTGGGTAGATGGGTGCATGTGGTTTATGGTCCTACATTCAATGGAGTATGAAGCTCTGACATGCAGCACAATGTGGGTGAACCCTGAAGACCTTGAGCTCAGGGGCAACAAGTTCGTTACAAAAGGACAAGTAGGGTGCGACTCTATGTATGATCCTGGATCTGCGTGTGATCTTATATCAGGTCTGTAGAGGAGCCCAGTTCACGGAGATGGGGGCCGGTGCTGCGGCACAGACGGCTAAGCTGCCGCTTGTGATGCCGGCAGCTCAATCCCATATCGGATCTCCAGCTCGGGTCCCAGCTGCTCCGCTTCCAATCCAGCTCCCTGCTAATGCACCCAGGAAAGTGGCAGAGGACAGCCCAAGTATGTGGGTCCCTGCCACCCATGTGGGAGACCCAGATGAAGCTCCTGGCTCTGGCCCGGCCCAGGCCTGGCTGTTGTGGCCAGTTGAGGAGTGAACTAGCAGGTGGCAGATTGAGCGAGCTCTGTCTCTCTTGCTCTCGCTCTGCCTTTTGAATACATAAATATTAATTAAAAAAAAAAAAACACTTTCAGAGAATGGTGGTTACACCAAGGGCTGAGGGGAGGGGGCGATGAGTTGCTTGAGGGGCATGGAGTTTCGTCGTGGGAGAACGAAAATGCAGGGGTGGTGGTGATGTTTGTACACATTGTGAACGCACTTAACATCACAGAGCTGTGTATTTCACAAACAGCTAAAATACCTCCCGAAAGCCTTTCAAGATGTCTCCTGCTACCTGAGCTCTTTCTTGCTCCTACGGAAGGCTTGGGAGTCCCTGGAAAGTTTCATCCCAAACAGTGTATTTTGGAAAAGACACGAAATCCAGTCAGTGGCACAATGATCTTCAAGCTGGTGCTGCCTCCGATGTCTGCACTCTTGGGGCAGGGCTTTATCCGGGCAGTTAGGTCCCCAGCCAGACTGCCCACACCCGAGGTCAATACCTGGCTTTGGCTCCTGACCCCGGCTTCCTGCCAGTGCACACCCTGGGAGGTAGTGGTGACGGTTCAGGTAATTGGGTTCCTGCCACCCTTACGGGAGACCTGGGTGGAGTTGCTAGCTCCCAGTTTCAGCCCTAGCCATTGCAGGCACTTGGGGGTGAACCAATGGATGGGCAGCGCTCTTTTCTGCCTCTCAAAAGAGGAAAATGACTTTATCATGTTCTCTTCTTGCCTGTACCCCCTCCAAACAAAAGTGAACAAAGCGAAGCTCCTATGGGATATGTGCTGTGTGTGTGTGTGTGGTGTGTGTGTGAAGCCTGCCTGTCTACTGCCTCCCCGGTGGTGACCTGCCAAGGTGGTGCCCCACCAGAGGCCCCCTGTGTCCCGCTCCGAAGTCACTGACCTCCGTGAAGTGCTTCTCGATGATGCTCAGAGCGGTTTGGGCGATCTGCCGGTTCTCGTGCAGCTGCAAGGCCTCGATTTGGTCTATCCCGCCGAGTTCTTCTATCAGGAGACACAGGTTGTCCTTCTCGTACAGCTTCTCTGCCTCCTGCGAGCCACAGAGAGAACAAGAGCCCTGGGCAGGGGCCCTCGGTCGACAGAACCCTTGCCAGTCCTCGGGGTTCAGCGGGATGAGACCAAAGGCCGCCATTCCAGAAAGGGGAGTCGCATTGTCTCTTTTCCCAAATGTATTGATAGCTGCAAGCCTCCCCCCATCTTAGATACTTCCAAGATCTGACCATGTATGTATGTAAGCTATAGACACATGCATGTACAATACACTTATGCAACATACATAAATATGTTGACTTCTATAAACATTTATTTCCGTTGTATCAAATACAATGCTTCTAGACTATCTTAAGGGATGGATTTGGGGCCAAATACATTGCTGCCCACAAATACGTCACATTTGGCGGGTAGCTCCTTCTAGTTAAAGAAAATGGTGTTAAATCCGGTTTGCAAGGGTGTTCCAGTAATGCCAGGTAAATGTGGTGTTCTGGCCCTGAACTCGAGCCTCACAGGATCAGACAGGAGAGCCTGTGTCACAGAAGTGACCCACAGTGGCCCACAGTGAGGTCCCGGGGGGCAAACCACGTGGGCAGAGTCAACCCAATGCTGTCACTGTCTTTTCATCACAGAGGGCTAACCATTCACTCCGATGTTTGTACGGATACAGCAGGCGAGGTACAGCACAAAACTAGAAACCCAGAAGTGGTGTGCATCACCCAGGTTACTGGGGAGCACCAAGTCAATCATTGTCACTAGCAGAGGCTGAAGTCTCAGCAGATGCACAGGGCAAGTACGGACGGTACCATAAATTCTTACTAAACCTACTTGGCCAGGACGAACCTGAAGTAATCAAAGGGCTGTGTCTCAGGAGAAGAGGGTATAGCTCAGCTAGACAGTGCATTTGGAGGAAGTGCAGAGTGGTAAAGCAAGCACTTGGGCATCACACCCCAAGGGCTCTGTTATTTTGTGAGCTGTGACTTAAAAAAAATAAGTCTTATAGATCAAACTAAACATGATTCAAGCCATGTGGTTTATGTGACTTGAGTTTCAGCTGCACCGTTTAAGCCTTGGGACCCTTCAGTCCCAGATGCAGGTCCAAAAAGAGCTATGGGTTTGGAATAAAGAAAAGAGGCAGGGACCAAAGTCCCACTCAATGTCAGCAAGAAAACTGGGGAATAGGGCTTGGCCCTGGGTAGCAGGAGCCCTGGAGGAGGACGTGGGGCCAGGACAGGACAGGACATGGCCCCTAGACCTCCCCAGCACTCCGCTGTCCACCTGAAGCGTTATGCAGCCCCACCCGGGCCTTCCTCACCTGCCCGTTGGTCCATCAGATGTGACCGGCCCAGTCTCTCAAGACAAAATCTTTAAGTGTTTAATTCAAATGGAGTTGATGGAGTGACACACTACGGTCCGGAACATGTTAGTCCAGCTCTCTACTGGCTGCAGGTCTCTACCCTCTCCTGGTGTGATCTGCTCAAAGTCACAGGGTATTATGGGACTGGCTTTCAAATCTGGTCTTGTCTTGGGTCAGTCCTTTTCCACAACAGTGCGTGTAAAGGAAGCTCCAAGTGGGCTTTTATGAGTTCCTGGTGTTCTTTTGGAGGTTCTCAAATGGCTTCATTGCAAATGAAGATAGCCAGCTCCAGGACGGCCCCTGGTGACCCCCATCCGGGTGTTCATGCCCTTGTGTAGTTCACCCCCTGCAGTGAAGAGGGCCCCCCCCCGCCCCATGGAAACAACACGACGCTGCGAACTGACAGAATGGGACCTCCAAGGCCAGTCACAGACAACACTGCAGCTTTAGTTGCTTACTCTGTGGAAGTCAGCTGCCACGATGTGAGGCCACGTGAGCTGCCAGTGGCGAGGTCCACCTGCCACCGTGGATGCTGATCCTCCAGGCTCCAGAAAGCCTTCAGACGCCAGCCCCGCCCCAACATGTTGACTGAACCTCAAAGGAGACCGGAGCCAAACCCATCCAATTCCTAATCCCAGTGTGTGGATAACGTGCTCCATAGCAATATAGAACTAGTAGTGCAAGCAGAACGGAGAGACTGGTTTGACATTCCTTCATGTCAGAACTAAGACTTTTCCAGAACTCTAGCTCAGTGCTTTGTGGTCCAACCCCCTAAAACATAATGCTGAATGGAGAAAGAACTTCAAGACTTATCCCCCTAGGCCGGCACCACGGCTCAATAGGCTAATCCTCCACCTGCGGCACCGGCACCCGGGTTCTAGTCCCGGTCGGGTGCCAGATTCTGTCCGGTTGCCCCTCTTCCAGGCCAGCTCTCTGCTGTGGCCCGGAGTGCAGTGGAGGATGGCCCAGGTGCTTGGGCCCTCCCGCATGGGAGACCAGGAGAAGCACCTGGCTCCTGGCTTCGGATTGGCCGCAGCGCGCTGGCCGTAGCAGCCACTTGGGGGGTGAACCAACGGAAAAGGAAGACCTTTCTCTCTAACTCTGCCTGTCAGAAAAAAAAAGACATCCCCACCAACTTCCTACTGCCTTCAAGTGTACCTGTGTTTTAGATTTCTAAGCCTCGTGGCTCACTGACTTCCGCCCTGCTTCAACAAGCCTTCTGTTGACGTCTCCTTACTCAGAGGAAGCCAAAGTTCTCACAGATCCTGCATGACCTGGCCCCGACCTGCCAGTTCTTCCCACCCTGCTCTCTGCCCTGGCCACGGATCCCTCCTCACACTCCCTTTTCTTGAGACGCTTCCTCCCGATTCCCCCAGGACTCACTGGCCCCTCTCGGGTCCTCCTCAGACTCCTGCATATGTGAGAGCCACTCCCCACCATGAACCACGAGGGATACCCCTTATCTGCCTGATATTACCCATAACTGCCTCCCCACCCCAGGAATGCCCAAGCCCCATTAGAACAAAGACTTGGCGCCACTGTATCTGGAGAATCCAAGAAAGTGCCCAGCACAGTCATACTTACTTAAGACGAAGGTGATGACCCTTCCTTGAAATGTCCCTTATCGTGTTATCCACAGGATACACGGATGAAGACGGTCAGATCAGGTGGAGGGGTCGAAGGGATTGGAGAAAATAGAGAATCCCACCTGGATTCTAAGAACTAAAATTAAGTGTCTTAATCAAGTTCGAGACTGCCATTACGAACCCACGTGTTCAGAACAGCTCACCTGGAGGAAGTAGGAGATGACATCGAGGATGATGAGGACAATTTTAACATCTGGGGCAGTGAGGAGCCTCATCAGGGGCTCCAGGACCCCCGAGTGGAGGAGCTGGAACAACTGGTTCACGGTGGCCCCCATTGTGAAGTTGGCCACCATCCAGACAGCCTCTTTCTGGACTCTGAACTCCCCCTGCAGAAAGCAAGCAGTCACGTTCAGTCCAGATCTCCCAGAACCTCAATACAGCAGTGCCACCCTGGGTTACTCTCCAGGTAGGCAGGCAGCAGCAAGGGCCGTACGTGCCATCTACACCGGACACCTTGGCTGCGGGCCTCCAGTTCTTCAGGAGAAGAGAGCATCTTGGGTAGTGGAGGAGCCAAGGAGTAGGTGGGCAGACTCAAAGGGGGTCTCAGGGAGGTTCCAAGGTCAAGTTAGACTCGTCCCTGTGTCAGGCTACGGGGAAAATAGAACATAAACTAATCTTAACCTGTGTAGACTAGGGCATATGCTTGGGGTTTAAGCTGAGAGGGGTCTATATTTACATTCCTAGCCTTTCCCACCCAATGGAATTCTGTGCAAGAAGCTAGGTAGCTAGGGACACAGATGTGTTCTAGGAGGCTGGGCTAGACCAGCAGTGACAGAGGAGGAATTCATCACCAAAGCCCCCTCGATGAATCTCCTGCATTTACAAAAATTCCTTGGCCCAAGCCGGCGCCGCGGCTCTACTAGGCTAATCCTCGCCTTGTGGCGCCAGCACACAGGTTCTAGTCCCGGTCGGGGCGCCAGATTC